AGAGATTTTTTGAATAAAATGCTAAATTCTGTTCCATCTATCATTAAAGTCTGCCTTATTCCGAGAGGGAATGGAACTTTCAATCAGGCTTGAGTATCATCATCCTCATTCACTGTGGAAATAGGGTATTCACATTAAGAAGTGAACATATCCTTCCTTAGGATACACAACATTTGCCTGGCAAGTTATACGGTATATATAATTTTTAAGGACAGAAAGGTCTTTACTACCTCTCAACCATTGTAATGAAAAAGTAAAAATTAATAGTTTGCATGAGCTTTGAAAGTACTGTCTCGATCATGATTGGTTGGAATTAAATTATTAACAGGATAAGAATAAATACAATGTGTCAGATTTAATCGCAAAGACACAATTGCCTTTCTATTTCGTTTATAAGGAGATTTCATACATCTACTGTTAGTCTCAAAAACCTACTTATGAACGAAAAATAACTAATGTAGTCGATTGCTATATCAAATACAACTTTGCTTCTTCGATAATCCCACTATAGAATGTAATATGGAAAAGGGCCTGGTCTTACTTAAAATTTAAATCTTCCTTGTGAAGCAAGGGCACCCATGGCAGTGTGGAGTAGTGCTTAAAGTATCGAAATTGTACTCTGTTCTATGACAAACCGGGTCCGAGTCCCGGTGAGAGTGTTGCTAAGACCTAGACAGTCCATTCTGGATAAGAATACCTTTAGGGAAGCAATGATATGAAAACTTCGGTAGAAACATATCATATCATTGTGAGAAAATTAAACTATCAGTTTTTCGTCACTTTGAACACGCCTCATTTATTGGTAGTCTCAAAACCCTGCCAATAAACGAAAAATGTGTACTCATTTGACTGATAGAAATTCGTATACCAAAATCAACTTGAGCAATCTAAGTCAATTCCTGCTTTTATTAGTGATTTGCTGAGTCTCAAAACCTATTTAATGGTAAAGGTGAATATATATGCTTATAGATGGAAAACAGAAAAAAATGCTAGGAATTAGAGAGACGAAAGGAGCGCGGCTAAAATTGAGATTTCAAATTTCACAGAAATCACACGAGCAATGTAAGCGATGTAAGTCCAGCCGCCATATTTGCTATAATTAAAAGTGGTAATTATAGAAGCGGCCTTATCATATTTTATTAAAGCAAACAAAACCAACGAAATTCAGGAGTTACCTTGTTAAATGGAGGAACAGTTCGCAAAAAGCTGGCGTGACTATATTTGTCGCTGAATACTGAGTGTCGAGCGCTGATCCCTATCAAGGGTAGACTATAGAAGGAACATATAAAGGAAGCAGACAGCGGTGGGGCCATTGGCAGGTCGGGAGGGTGAGAAACAATCAGAGCAAAAGTGCGGCCGCGTGAATTTGCAAACAGCTCACAGACCTGCTTAGTTGACTGCAATGCATTTGGCGATAATTCCTAATCAATCGAAAATAGGAGATAACCAAAGAGCAAGCTTTTGGCTAAGGTAATAATTCATAACAATCAAATAAAATTATATTCGGAGTTCCATATCTTCAATTCAAAAAAGTAATATAAGGATAGAAAAACAAAACACAAATATATGCACTATCCTCAAGATTAAATAAGAAAAAAATGCATTTACCATTTCAACGTTACAAGAAAGCTTATTTCACTATGCAAAAGGGTCTTCTTATTTCACAAAATTTGTTAAAGAATAT